TCAGAGGGGGCTGCAGAGAGACAGCAGAGGGTAAGGCTGAGGAAGCCTGAATTCCTGGTGGGACATGGGTAAGGGAGGCCAGCTCACCCACCCTAACCAACCCTTCTCCTTGTCCAGCTTTCCGCCCTCCGCCTGGAACTCTCAAAGCTGGACCAGGCAGCCTCCCACCTCCAGCAACTGCTAGAAGAGGCTCCCAGCACCAGGGAACTCTGAGCTCTCCTCAACATCCATGCCAGCATCCCTTCTCAGACCGGTTTTTGAGAACAGATCTGCCTTCTGTTGCTACAATGGGGCTTCAGAGGTGACACTGTCCACCTTCATTTTGTAAAAGGAAACAAACCGGAAGTCCCTGTGATGCAAGAATGAGTAGATGGAGATAAAGTGGATACAACCCCCCACATACCTGTGTGTGATTCTTCATCACCCTGTGCTGGAATATTAAATGGGTCACAGTGAATCTTAGATGGAGTTAAGCAAAGATTTCTGGGAGGCGCAAGAATAGCCAAGTGAATGCTGGGAAAAAAGTTCCTCAGAGAAATGCCTAGATGGGGCACACAAAGGGAGACCCAGAGGAGGTCCAGAGAGCAGAGGGGTGTGGTGGGGCTGTGCTGTAGCCAGCTGCCTCAGCTGGAAGAGCTCTGTCAAACTACAGTTAGTGGCTGTTGCATGGGGCCAGTTACAAAGCAGGTTGCCACAGACGTGCACATTGTGGGGGCTCTTTGAAGGGCTGGACTTCCTCCGAAACAGAAGCCCTTTCCTCAAGGATATTTAACACTTCCCACATGCATCGTGTTGAATACAGTATCATAGCCAAGCTAGCTGCAGAGGGAGGCAGGGAGGTGTTCATCAGAAACCGGGTTTCCAGCTAAAATTTACACTGCTCCAGCAAAGGAGAATGTCTATTGGTTCTTTGCCAGTCCTATGAAACCTCGAGTCAGACAACTATCCCATCATCAGCCATAGCTGGCAAGCCTACCCGGTCCCAGGGTTACCTCTGCTGCCCATCTCCTGCTTGGTCCCCAGATACACAGGCTGGAAGCCTTTTTGGTTACTCAAGCTCCACACCCGACACTAGTGCCACTGAAACACCTGCCAGCAAGCTTTCAGGCATGCCAGGACAGCATCAAGACCAGAGCACAAGCTAGCCACTCTGCCCACATATCAGGAAACTGGCTGTTCCTCATGAGGCCAAGGGTTCAAGGCAGAAAGCAGTAAACCACTGAGTGGATCCTTGAGGCCTCAAACTGCCTGGAGGGGCAGTTACCCAACTGGGAGGGAAAGTGGTCCCAGTCCCAAAGACAGAAGAGTCCATGGCATTGGGCAGTGGTGGTGCAGAAATGAGCGGTCCCTGCTACACTAACTGTGCCCCTGTTGCTCCTGGGGGCTTCCCTGAAAGTGCCTCCTTCATTTACAACCCCTAGCAGAAACTGAAGTGCTTAGCAAATCTGCAACGGCTTTTCAGACTTTGCCAGCATGGAACCCGCTCATCTCACTATCATCCATGTCAGGATCTACTAGAGGCCGTTAAAAAAAAAAAAAAAAAAAAAAAAAAATCCTCCAGCTTATATTGAGGTCAGATCTGAGCACAGAAAATACCAGGTGTCCCTTTCTTAGACCCACGATCAGATAGACCTGGTAAGGGCAGTCTACAATATGCTCTGCCAATGAGGACCACCTAGACTAGAGACGCTGGAACGTCTTCCAGACCGTGTCTCCCGCTGCAGAGCATCTTGGGGTCTTACAGACCTGGTATGGGTACCTTTCTCACAGGACCAAAAGAGAAAGGGGGAGCTTGTTCAGATTAATGAGTCATCTCTCCTATATAAACTCCATCACTCAAAACAACTAAACATTTCATTTAACTTTCTTTTTCCCTCAAGTTTATAATCTGTAAGCAAGCTCAGCACTTGGGGTGAGTTATTTACCACATGTAGCTGTGAGCTAGAGAAATATAAAAAACTAAGCTTGGAGATGCGGGGTGGAAAGAGCCAGTGTGAAGATCCAGTGGCACCCTCTACCCCAGCCTCCCCCAGCAGGCTGGGCTCAGCAGTTACTGCCAGCAGCTTGGCCAGAATCTGACTCAGTGCTGGGGATAGAACCCTGGCCTTGTGCAAGCCTTCAATCCTTGAGCCCCACCCACAGCCCTACAGCCTGATCCTGTTTCCTTCCCCACTCCCCCATCCCTCTCCCCACTCTCCCATAAGCTTTCAGACCCTTGAAGCTCAGTGTCTTCAGCAAGGCCAAGGAGAGCAGCGATGGGGGTGGGGCCTGGAGTGGGGAGATCCTGGTTTAGAGGATAGGGTATGGGGTGAAGAGGTCACTTGTCTCATTACCTCAGCAGTAGCCATGTGGGTTCTAACAGCAAAAGCACCTCGGGATACCAGCATCCAGCAAAACCTTCCTACTCCCACGTGGAACCACTCACCTGTCGCTGCCTCGGCTTGAATTTCAGGCACTTCCAATTTAAAGCAAGTTTGCCCATCATTTTTTCTCTCCGAAAACTTTGAATTTCCCTAAGCGACAACTGCTTAGGAAGCAGTAGAGGCGGGCCAATGAGATAGCTCAGCTCTTCGGAGAACCCAAATTTCATTCCCAGCACCCACGTCCGGTGGCTCACAATTGCCTATAACTCCAGCTGAAGCCTCTTGAGAGGCGCAGGCGCACGAATGCAAGCACGTGCAGATAATAAGTTGAGCAAGTCTTCCCTGCCTCCACACAGCCCACCTGAGCTCAAGGGCCTGAGAGCCAGGCAGGTGAGGAAACAAAGGACCTGCCCCATGGCCCTTTCTCAGGTGTGTTGAGTGGAGAGTCTGGCCTCTCCAACCCTTCCTCCCGCTTTGGGGTCCGGTTTGTTCCATCTCCGCTTAGGAGTGGTTTGCTTAACCCACCACCCTGGTTCTCAAGAGAGAGAGATCTCAGACTAGCCACAGAGCTCAAAGTCGCTGACTCCTTACTCCAGATGGAGGTAGACTAGGGCTCCCATCAGTCAGTCTCGGTCAGGGTGTCCCCTTGCTCGGAAGGGGCCCTTGGAGTGCTAGATGAGTGTGCTACTTCCGAGTCCCGGTGCTTTTCAGTCAAGTATATCCTACCTTGAATTGAAGTCTTCTCAAATCCTGGACAAAATGCCCTATAAAATGTAATGGGGTGCTGCTGGCCACATGGAGGGAGGCTGCTGAGTGTGTCGCCCGGAGAGCTGAGTATCGGAGAAAGAGGAAGACTAGGCAGCAGAATCAGGAAACAAGATTCTGGCTTGGGTCTTATATAGGGTCCCTGGGTCCGCCCCCTTTCACCTATTGGCCCTATTTAGAAACCCCGCCCCTATGCTTTATGCCATTTCTTCTTGAAATATCTTCTGGGAACAAGAAGCCCCCCACCCACCCACTCCCCAACATCCCACTGAGTAATGGTGGACCCACCTTTAATCCCAGCACTTGGGAGGCAGAGGCAGGCAGATCTCTGTGAGTTCAAGGCCAGCCTGGTCTACAGAGTGAGTTACAGGACAGCCCCGGCTGTTATACAGAGAAATCCTGTCTCGAAAAACACACGAAGCCCTCATCTCAGTAAAAGTGCTTTCATTTTCCCTGTCTGCTTTTATCCCTCCAGCTCCCCCTCACAGCTATGGTGAACCCCAAGGCATTATCTCCATTGCTCTAGGAAAAGGATCTGGAATGGCACCCTGATGACCTCAGGTCCTGAGTTCTAGGAGCCTCCAGCTGGTCTCACAACCCTGACTCCATGGGGGCCACCTCTTTGCTAGTGCAAGGGCAAGTCGCAGAGCACTGGGGTCCTCGATGCTACATGTTCCAGGTCAAGGGGAAAGGAGGCAACATTTCTTCTCCTACCTCCTTTTCTTCTACACTTCCTCATCTTCAGAGATGTTTTCTCTGGAGTATCTTGCGCCTCCACAGGAATTAGCTCTTATATGGGGTGATGGTGGCATGGACAGGGACTGGGAAGGACAGTAGCAGTCATCTTAACACTCCCAAGGGGTCAGTCAGGTCTAGGCTACAAGAGTTAGTAGTGAGAAGCCAAGGTAATTTAATTTATCTTGGGTTTTGTTTGTTTGTTTGTTTGTTTTGTTTTATTTTTTTTGAGACCGAGTTCCATTATGTAGTCCTGGCTGTCCTGGAACTCACTCTGTAGACCAGGATGGATTTGAACTCAGAGATCTGCCTGCCTCTCCCTCCTGAGTGCTGGGATGAAAGGTGTGTACCGATAAGCTCAGCTCAAATAATCTTGAGGGAGGGAGTCAGGAAGAGGACTCTGGATCCCCAAGAGGATTTGAACTGTTAAGGCTGGGTTCTTCCACTGGCATCTGTCTGTCCCAAATGTGCCACCTACAGCATCACAGGCTCTGTGTGTGGACCGTCCCTCCGCAGTTTACCCACAGTGCTCTCAGAGGAGTCCTAGCATACAGGCATTGCCACCATCCCCATCTTGTGGGTAAATAGGAGCTTGGAGAGGAGCCACCTTTCTAGGACACCTGTGACCCCAGGTCCACATGTCAGGTGTCACACACTCCTCTAAGGCTTCCTCCTCCAGCACTGGGGCTTGCTGGCTGCTTCTCAGCTGCATGCCTCACTCCCCTCTCAGCTCCCTCTACCCTGCTTTCCACCCTGACCAGCTGTGCAGGCCACCCAGGACCCTGGACCAATGGGCTATGTCCTGAGATGTTCCGTCCACATTCCTAGGGGTTCCTGAGCCTACAGCCCCAAAGCTTAGGACAAGGGGCTACAATTAAAAGTCTGCTTAAGCTGAGACATCTGCATGCTGCCTGTTTTTTTTTTTAGATGCAGTTGGACATTGGGAGAGCAACCCTCTCTCCAAGCCTGGGTTTTCTCTTGTAAAAGAAGACAATGTTACAGAGGTTCAGAATTGACACAGACTTGGTGTGGAAAGGGCAGGACAAAGAGGACCACAGCAGGATAGGCCTTCTGTCTGTGTGTGTGTCTGTCTGTCTGTCTGTCCGTCCATCTGTCCTTACCTCACTCTTCTTATTCCAGGCCTCAGTGGTGTTCAGGGATCGTCACCTGGCACCTCTTCTCAGCGAACAGGAGAATCAGTCAGACAGCCTGGCATACAGCTCCCTTTTCCTGTCTGCCCTGTGCGCACAGACCCACTGGATACACCAAGCCAGTCATTAGATTCCACTTGTTTATTAGCATTCGGTAGGGCAAGGGTCTGCATGCTCACTCCCAGTGCCTACTCCTGAAGCCTGTGCTCAGGCTCCACACAGGTCCTCAGGTTCTGCAGGTTAGGTGGTGTGGTGGCCCTTTGTGATGGAGGGTCATGTTGGCCCCTGGTGGGAGGTGGAGGAGGATGCAGATCTGGGGAACAAATGTGAGTAGAGGGCAAGGTGTTGATGGCACCCCACTTCCTATTTCGCTCAGCCAGCCCCAGCCCAAGCAGAGACCCGCAGGAGCTCAGAGGAGCACCCAGCACCGCTATCCCCTTTCTCAGAAATACCTTTTGGAGCATGTGGAGAAGGCTGGAGTCCTGGGAGACCTTGGCCTGGAAGGCCTCCCTCAGCTTTACTTTCAAAGTCACCTTTGGCCCTGGGAACCCAGAAATGTGCCTGAAGACCCTGCAGTCAGGGCTGTGGTACCCACCGGGGAGGCATGTCCCACTTTGCCTCCAGATTCCCTTTCCTTTCCTCCAGTGCTGTCCCATCAACACTCAGATCAGGGACTCAGTACCAAGGGACGCCCTCCCCTCTCTCACCTCCACGTCTACCCTCCAGCCCTCACCTGTTGCATGTGAACTGTTGAGGAGGACCAGGAGGAGGAAGAGAGGCATCCAAGACCCCATTGTGGCTACCTCACTTCTCAGATGGCAGATGAGATGTGGAAATGGCCTCTTTGCCCTGGGCCCTCAGTGCTGGTGTTGGGGGCATCAAGAGACATGGCAACTGGATTTTCCTGTTCTCCCAGAGTGGTTCCCATGACCCTGGAGAGGGCTACTCACTGGCTCCTGGGTAATGTGGGGGGTAGACCCCCCCATTGTTTGTTTCAGATCTCTGAGGAGGGAGGAGTGGGGACAAGAAGGGGCCTTCCTGCAGGTGTTGGGCCCCTCTGTGGTTCTTGAGGGATTAATGATTAACTGTTCATAGCTGTCATCATTCCTGCCAAAGAAGGGCTCTGGAATGTGGGCTGCAAAGGGAGGGGTGGGTGAGGCCTCGCCTGCCCCAGCCAAGAGGTGTCTTAACATCCCAGTGGCTTTCCAGGTAGGAAATCTGGGCTGTGGGGAGCTTCCACCTTTGAGATTTTGTTTTAATTTTATGTGGGTGAGTGTGCTGCCTGCATGTGTGTATGAGTAGCACTGTGCAGTGTTCACAGAGGCCAGAATAGAGTGTGGGATCCCCCTGGAACCAGAGTTACAGATAGTTGTGAGCTACCATATGGATGCTGGGAATCGAACTGGGGCCCCTTGGAAGAGCAACAAGAGCTCTTAGCCCCTGAGCCATCTCTCCAGCCCCTGTGCCAGGCTTTTTAATGTGTGTTCCAGACATGGAACTCAAGCCCTCATGCTTGCGTGGCAAACACTGCACCAATCAGCTCAATAATAATTATTAAATGGCGCCGATGTGTGGCTGGTGCTGACCATCACAGTCTGGTGACACTCTTCACAGAGGTAGCTAGGAGCATCACATGTGTGCATATGTGAAGCATTAATAGTGCTGAGCAAGCAGTTCTACTGCTACTTTTGCTCAGCTAAGGACACTGAGGGCCTGGGTGATCACAGGAAGGACTCCATGGCAAGAGCCAAGAGCTGGGCAGCTGCCCCCCCGCCAGGTCCCCTATCAGGACATCCTATCCATTTTTTTTTTTTTTTTTTTTTTAAGATTTACTTATTATGTGTACTGTGTTCAGGTGTGTAGCACACCAGAAGAGGGCACCAAATCTCACTACAGATGGTTGTGAGCCACCATGTGGTTACTGGGAATTGAACTCAGGACCTCTGGATGAGCAGCCTGTGCTCTTAACCTCTGAGCCATCTCTCCAGTTCTGACATCCTATCCATTTTTTATCTCACAGACTTGACAGTCCTGAGGGAGATGAGTTTGGGGTACAGCTGTGACCTCTTACATGGCCACCATCAGGCTGGCAGCCAGTAACGCTCATGAGGGGTAGGGCTGAGATGGCTAAGAGCCATTTGCCCTCATCTGGAAAAAGCAAGGTGACATTGCTGACCTCATCATTTCTCACAGGTGAGATATTTAATGTACACAGAGAGTCACCAGGCTCTAGTGACTGGCTCCAACTCAAAGTCACCTTTTTGACCATAAGATGCCATCTTGGGTCAGGCATGGTAGTTTCTTCCCATAACCTCGGCACCCAAGCAGCAGAGGCAGAAGGACAGCCATGAATTGGAGGTCAGTCTGGTCTTCATAGTGAGCTCTAGGTCAACCAAAGCAAGATACCAAGATTCTACCTCAAAAAACAAAACAAAACAAAAAACAAAAACAAATAAACAACAACAACAAAAAAACCCACCACCTCCAAAAATTACTAGCCAGGCATGGTGGTGCATGCCTGTAATCCCAGCACATGGGAGATGGAGGAGCAAGGATCACAAGTTCAAGGTCATCCTCAGTTACATAGCAAAATCAAGTCCAGTTTGGAGTTCAGGACACCTTGTTTCAAAGCAAAACACACACACACACACACACACACACACACACACAGGTAGGTAGGTAGGTAGGTAGGTAGGTAGATAGATAGATAGATAGATAGATAGATAGATAGATAGGATTAAGCCAAGTTAAAAAAAAAAAAAGTAAAACAATACATTGAGAAGAGAGGACTAGGGAAGTTAAGAGCTCTGGTTGCTCTCCCAAAGGAACAGGGTTCAATTCCCAGCAATCACATGATGACTCACAACTGCCCGTAATTCCAGTCTCCAGTTCAGACGATCCAAGTCTCTATTCTTGCTCTCATGGGTACTGTACAAAAGTGGCTCATAGACACACATCAGGCAAAGCACCCATGCACACATAACAAAGCAAACTTAAAAGAATGGCACCTAGTGAATTATTTAAAAAACAGAGAGGCAACCAAAACCAAGAGGCGCCAAGCGGTGGTGGCGCACGCCTTTAATCCCAGCACCCAGGAGGCAGAGACAGGTAGATTTACAAGAGCTAATTCTAGGACAGCCAGAGTTGTAACATAAAGAAAACCTGTCTTGCAAAACCAAACCAAACAAACAAACAAAACAAAAACCTGAGAGGCTCTTGGGCTCTACCTACATCAGGTTCCTCTTCTCTAGAGGAGTTGTACCAAAAGTGGGAAGAGGGTGTTTGCTCATAAACTCTGGCTGAATCTTATTCTAAACCAGGAATCCTTACCCTTCGCACCATTGACACATCAGGCTGGATGATTCTTCTATCTGGAAAGTGTTCCAAGGCATACAAAGGGCCAGCACCATCTCTAGCACCTCCTGCTAGATACCAGCAGCTACATCCCACGAGGATCGCTCCTAGAATTGCCATATCTCCCCTGGGAGGCAAACTTGGCCCTTCCCACAGTGTATTGGGGGTAGGAACCTTAGAGAAAGAATGGTATAGAAGACTAGTGGAAAGGGAGTCCAGAGAGAGGCACGGGGAAATCTCTGCTTCGGATTCTAAATCCTACAGGCTGCACTATCCTATTTCACAGCCTGTCTACTTCTGAGCCATCAGTCTTAGGCACAACTACAGAGGCTCATTAATCTCCCATTAATTGAGCTAATAGGCATTTGGCTGCTTCTCCTCTTTCCTGATCCAGCCCTGCCTAAGGGCGTAGGCACTAGTCATGCCAGACCACTAGTCCCCATGAGTCCCTGTGGCCCCAGCTCCAGGCCTCCTACCCTGAAGATCTCCATCCCCTCTGCTGCCCACTTCCCTAAGGGAGCAACAGCCCTGCTTCCAACTCACCAGGGGACCCACAGTTTTTAGGGTGCTGGGGTATGAGCCCACAGCCTTGTGAGTGTTAGGCAAGCACTCTCCACTGAGCCGCATCCCTAACACTGACAAAGGACCACTGACTGGCTGTCTCTTGCATGTTGGGCACTGTCTGGGGCTATGGATATGATGGGGACAAAGACATTGCCTCGGGGTGCTCACAATGTAGGAGGCCTTCAAGTAAATCAGCTTTAGGGAAGGGTCTCTAAGTGAATGCTTGCTTTAGGTAGAGAATGAGTGAAGTCTCAGGTATGGGGTTCAAAGGGGATATGTGCGTGATTCCTCCTTGAGCCTCACAACTAAGACCTTTCAGTGAGGAAACAGAGGGGGCTGGAATGTCTGGAAATAGAAGGTGCACATGTCTGAGCAGGGGTAGATGCAGACTTGAGGCAGAGGCAGCCGCTGGGCTGGGATGGCAGGGGAGGGGTAGGAAGGACAGGTGTCCCCCAAAGGCTAGACACATGATGTCAGTCCCAGGGTTCCCTGCTGCCTTGTCCCTGTCACTGTCTCAGCTGTTCCACAGCCTGTCCTATTACCTTACCACCCGAAAGCAGCTGTCTGTGTGCAGTGGACCACGTGAGGGCTGCCCCTTCTCTGCTCTTTCACCTGATCTTGGGGACACTCCACCCAAGGCAGAAAGTGTGGCCATGTGTGAGTAAGGGGTGTGGAGCTGGATGACGACAGAGACAGAGGAGGGTGAGTATGTGCCTCCTCCCAGAGCCTGGACCTGTCCTGTGCCCTATCCAATCCTTCTAGAACATGAGCATTGACTCAGAGCCTGCAGGCCACCCCATACAAGCCATTCCTTCTGCAGGAGTTGGATAAGGAGGCAAGCAGGCTACCCCACCCAGATCCTTTCCATGTCCGTAGATCCCACCCCTTTGGTGGAGCCCAGGTAACTACCTAGCTCTGTGACACAGCTGCGCTCTCCCATTATCAGGGCGCCCCTAGGGTGGGGCAGCTCCATTTGCTTAAGGCTTAGCTCAGAGTAGCCTCAGCCCCCATGACGTCAAACCTGACCCCTTATAAGATGCAGGGCCCCCAGCCCATGGTCCCTCAGCAGCCTCCCAGCTTTGACATGGCTCAGCTGACCAGTGGCTTCTGTTCCTCTTTTGGCTTCATCTGCTGCCTCTTCTTCCTTCCAGCTTCTTGGGAGGCAGGTAAGATGCCCAGAGAGGTAACGGGGCCACCACTATATAGGGGGTAGAAATCATGAAGGGTCTTATTTCTCATTATTGATGGGGCTGGATGTGCTCACAGAAATTAACGAAGGCGAGTGGCATGGATGGCCGTGAAACTGCTTAGTGAGTTCAGGACATGCAGGATAGAGATCTAGATTCTGCCGTTTCTTTTGAGACAGTCTGAGAGGTTTCACCTGCTCAGAGCGTCAAGCTTAGGTAAAGGCACAGTGTGGGCTTTAGTTCTAGGCAAGGGAGCTGGCACATACTGGGCACTCACCACATGCAAGGAACCCACTGGTGTTTCATCTCCCACTGTCTCCTTAACCCCTAGAGGGTCAATGATACCCATCTTCCAGCCGAGGAGTCACATAGCTGTGAGGAGAGCAAGCTTGGTGGCTAAGAGCACGGGATGGTCCAGAAGGTTCTATACAGACTGGGCTCTTCCACTTGACTCAGCCATTTAGCTCGCCTGTCAACGGTACAGCGGGAAGGATGCTGGCAGCCTGTGCCAGTGGCTGGGGTACAACCTACTCCGCATGGTCTGACCCTCATGGCAGCTCACTGAGGTTCTGTCCCTATCTGATAGGTGGAAAACATCCCAAGACTTGGATGAGAAATGTTTGCCTCGGATAAGAGCTGCTAGGGGAGAGGGTGGCAATGCTAGGACGGTTTACGACTTAAAAGACGGTGCTGGATCAGGAAGTAGGAATGCCAAATGCAGGGGCACTTTGAGGTGGTCTGGGCATCTGAGGAAGGTCTTTATGATCTAGCAGATGTGAGACCCCAAACCAGAGATCTGGGGGTGGCTTCTTCTGCGACAAAGCAAGCAGCATCTTCTTCCAATAGTCCCAACTGGGGGTGAAACTATGCTGAGGCTCCTTCCCTGAGCTCAGGGTCTGGTTGGGGTCTCATGGGATGGCAGGATTAGGATCTGAGACTCTTTCAGTGCATCTGAGAGACCCATATAGTGTGCTCTGTCAGCATTCTGAGCTGCTATCACGGCAGAGCACTGGAGCCGGCCTCAGTTTCCCTATCTGCTTCTCTTTCCCTGTATCAGTCGAGGCCCACCCGGGTGTCAAGTCACAGCACAAGTGGAACAAACCAGCAGGGGGGGGTGTGGGAAAGCAAGTTCGCCCTCATCTCCTGCAGATTTGCATCAGGACAGAAGGCAGGGTGCAGCAGTCATGGGTGTGGCCAGGGAAGCGCCCTTGGAGCTTGTGGGGTAGGATGCTGGGAGAAACTGGAGGGTACACAGGCACATCTGAGTGAGATGGTGACAAGTCGGGGGTTTGAGGGTGCAGGCTGGGCCAGGGCTGGGCACATGACTGTGTACAACGGAGAGAGGTCAGGGGAGAGAGAGAAGAGACCGCTCAGGATGGGTGAAGCCTCCTGGACCATTTTGGCCCAGCATCTATCCACAGGACCTGTTGGTCTGCAGACTCAGGTAGGGCACAGAACTCCAGAGTCTGCCAGAGGAAGTCCCAGAGATACAGGGGCAATGTCCAGGTTAAAGCACAGCAAGGAAAGTTCAGGTAGGAGAATGTGGGAACAGGGACTGGGGATGTAGTTACAACGGTACAGTTCTTACCAAGTGTGCTCAAAACCCTGAGTAAGGTTCCAGCACTGTGGCGGTACACAGCTGTAATCCTAACGCTAGGGAGGTAGGTGCAGGAGGATCAAATAAGTTCAAGGTCAGCCTGGTTTCCAAGGTCCAGCCTGAGCTGTGTGAGAACTTGTGAAATTGACATTCACCCCAGACTTGGTGGCCACCATCTTCCTTTCACATGTTCATTTTGGGAAGTCACTTAACAGAAGATATCAGTCCTGAGTCTTCCAGTCTTCATTTTTGTTTCTGCTTTGTTTTTCCAAGTCAGAGTTTCTCATTAGTAGCTAAGGAGCCAGTCCTGGAATTCACTCTGTAAACCAAGCTGACCTGAAACTCACAGATCTGCCTGCCTCTGCCTCCTGAGTGCTGGGATTAAAAGTGTGCTCCACCACCCAGCATCTTTCAACCTTTGGAAGTCACTCTGTGTGTGTGTGTGTGTGTGTGTGTGTGTGTGTGTGTGTGTGTGTATGTGTGTGTATTTTTTTTTCCCCTTAATGTGCATAGTAGAAGGTGGTGGGCATTCTAAAGTCTCTTCAACAGTTTTCTCTGACAATTCAGCAAGTATTTATGACGTTGCCTGTTATGGGAAGCTGCTAATCTGAGCTTCCAAGCATGAGGTGACCTGAGCGAGGACAAAGTTGATGGGGACAAAGCCTGGACTTCAGCCTTGTTCCTCAATTCTGCAAGGCCAGGGGAATTCAGCACTCTCTGCCATGACTGGCATATTTGTTCGCTTGGTGGGGTCTTTATCGGGCCCTTATCATGTTTGAAGCATGGAGTGTAGTGGGAACCTGGCTATGCCCATTAGTTAGATCTCAACCTTCTCCCCACCTGTAAAACCTCAAGGTTGTAACTCCCACATCCTGGGTTTCTGTAAAAGATTAAATAAGCAAACTTGCAGAACCATACTTCAGCATGCTGCTACAGTGCCTTTTCCTTTCCCGAGAGACTGGCCTGGCTCCCATGCTGGGTGCTGAGGTCTTAAGCGATACTAGACTGGGGCTGGCATGGCATCCCAGGATGTATGTTACTTGCTGGGTATGTCTTTAATCTCAGCACTCAGGAAGTAGAGGCAGGAGGGTCTGGAGACCAGCCTGGTGTACAGAGCAAGTTCCAGGACAGCCAGGGCTACACAGAGAAACCCTGTCTCAAAAAACCACACACACATACACACACACACAGAGAGAGAGAGAGAGAGAGAGAGAGAGAGAGAGAGAGAGAGAGAGAGTTCTTGTGGTAAATAAATGAGGCAGGCTTATAGAAAATAAACATTGATCAAAAGTTATCGTTGCTATTGCTAAGGTGGCAACGCTTCCTCCATGAGATTCCAGTTTCACAGATAGAAAAATGGGGAGACTGACAGCTTCTAAGAGCCTGGTGAGGGCTGGGAACACAATCATGAAAGACTATCTGTGAAGAAATCAGACTGTTTTAGCTTTCTATAACTGTGACAAAATACCTGAGATTACCAACTATGAAGACAAAAGTTTTGTTTCGGGTCATAGTTTTTGATGATTGCAATCATGGGAAAAAAAAAAACTGGCCCTGGTGGTGTGAACCTGTTGCAGCCCATCATGATGGGATTGTATGACAGAGTGAAGCCATTCACTGTTTGGCCAAGAACAAGAAAGAGGAAGGCACAGGTATCCTAGCAGTCTCGTCAAGGGTATGCTGCCATAACCTAACCTCATTTCGTAGGCCCTGCCTTCCAGTAGTGACAATCTGGGGACTAAGCATTTAACTCCTTTGGGGGCAGTCTGGCTCTACACTGTGGCACCTGGAAAACAGTGCTCCCAGTCACTGAGAGGGAAGGGGGATGGGATCGGCAGCGAGGCCCCCTCCTTGCACCTGTAAACTCTGTTCCCTCGTGGGACTTGGGCATCTCTATTCTCCTCACGCTCTTGTCCTCTCTTCCCATGCTTCTCCCTAGGACTGAATTCCTAGACTCCATTTTCATGGCTGGGAAGGTGGGCAGGGCGGGGCTCAGTTTCCCATGACTGGGAATCGGTCCAGATTCTGGGTACCACCCTGAGCCAACTGCTGACTGACGATCTCAACTGTCTCTTTACTCCCTGGTAATCTCCAGTCTCCAGCTCTTGTGGTTAGAATTGTCCCTGTCCAGTTGTTTTGTTTTGGTTTGGTTTTTTTCATTGAATTAAGGCAAGTACCTGATAAAAGTGTGTTTTCTTTCACACCCTGTCCCTAAACAGAGCCCCTCCCAGAATCCAGCAGCCTTGCTCTCCACTGTCAGGACCTGCCAGGAGAAACCATTTTCTGTCAAAAGAATCACCCTCATCTATTCTCAGACATGTGTACAAAGAGAGGGACCCAATACGGGTAGGCTACAGGGACAGAACTATACCTCCCTCCACTCTCAGACCATACTTCATTACCAGAATGGAAGTTTCCCATTTTCCTCCCCAATCCTCTTCTACCTCATCCTCCTCCCGCACCTCTCCACCTGGACAGTTCTGCCAGGAGTCTGCCTCAGTTTCTCATAGTGTTACATCTGGAATGGAACTGATGTAACAGAAACACAAAGCTTTGGATGCGAATTCCTTCTCCTCTTGGTTCTTCCACGCAAAGTGAGTTCTAGGAAGGTGTGGTAGGAGGTGGATATCGACAAGCACACAAGCAAGTGAAAGGCAATTGGAGAAGTTTTAAATGATGCTTTTGTCTGAGAATGTGTCAGCCAATGGAAGGACAACAAGAATCCAAGCAATACCCATGGGGTAAGGGAAGAGACCATATCAACCAATGAGAGACACCTAGATCTAGAACCAAGACAGATACCCAAGACTGACAGCAAAGTTGAAGAATGAATGGATGTTTGCTGAAGGTACATTTTGAGCAAAAGTTCAGCAGTTAGAGGTGAGGATAGGGTTAAACAGTGTGATATTATAATGAGCCTTCCTGAGGAGACACCTGTACATCCCAAAGGTGCCTAGTACAGAGGCAGAAAAGAATTTAAGAAAGTTTCTTATTTGTCTGTCTCTCCACAGGTGCCAACACATTTCAAGAACTTCAGAAGACTGTTGAACCTTCAACATCTGACCATTTACTCACCCTTACTCCAAGCCTTACTCACAGGTCTCCTTCTGCCCATGCTGACCTAGACCCAGGACAACGACCTCCAGGACACCCTAAGTCTACAGCAACCCAGAAGCCCAAAAAGCCATGCAACCCCGTACACTTTGCCAAACCAGTTCATAAACCTATAGACAATTCCAAAGCCACAGATAACCAAAATGCTACTGCCCATCATGAAATGACTCTTGGTATGGAAAAGAATGCCACCAGCCAAAGAGAAGACCCAATGATCAGGAATGGACGTTCAGCCAATGACCCCAAACCCACTAACACAGAGAAAGCATCAGAGGGAAGTCATTCAACCTCAGCACCCAAGGGAAGAACAACTTGTAAGTCCACAAGTAAAACCAGAGTAACAAGGAACTCAGGTACACTGGCAAGAACTGTGGACATGAGCACTAGGCGAATGACCACCTCACACAAATCTACAACACACTCACGCAAATCTACAACTCCTTCCCACGACTCAGAGCTCAGTAGAAAAACTACATCTTCCTCAGGAAAATTCTCAGAAGCTCCAAGGATCTCATACAGGACTCCAAGGACCCCAGCAACATCAGGAGCTGAAGAACACCGGACTCCATTTGCCTCAGATGAGCCTGTCCAAATGACTACAGAACACATCAAAGGGACCACATCAGCTAGTGACAAGACCACAAGAGCCCAAGTGACTACAGCAGAGCACGAGGGAGAGAATATATCAACCAATGAGAGGACCACAAGATCCCATGCATCATCCACTGAGTCTGAAAGAGAGACTCCATCAGCCAGTGAGAGGACCACAAGGTCCCAAGCAACATCCACTCCATATGAAAGAGAGACTCCATCAGCCAGTGAGAGGACCACAAGATCCCAAGCAACATCCACTCCATATGAAAGAGAGACTCCATCAGCCGGTGAGAGGACCACAAGATCCCAAGCAGCATCCACTGAGTCTGAAAGAGAGACTCCATCAGCCGGTGAGAGGACCACAAGATCCCAAGCAGCATCCACTCCATATGAAAGAGAGACCCCATCAGCCAGTGAGAGGACCACAAGATCCCAAGCAGCATCCACTGAGTCTGAAAGAGAGACTCCATCAGCCGGTGAGAGGACCACAAGATCCCAAGCAGCATCCACTGAGTCTGAAAGAGAGACTCCATCAGCCGGTGAGAGGACCACAAGATCCCAAGCAGCATCCACTCCATATGAAAGAGAGACCCCATCAGCCAGTGAGAGGACCACAAGATCCCAAGCAGCATCCACTGAGTCTGAAAGAGAGACTCCATCAGCCGGTGAGAGGACCACAAGATCCCAAGCAGCATCCACTCCATATGAAAGAGAGACTCCATCAGCCGGTAAGAGGACCACAAGATCACAAGCAGCATCCACTCCATATGAAAGAGAGACCCCATCAGCCAGTGAGAGGACCAAAAGATCCCAAGCAGCATCCACTCCATATGAAAGAGAGACTCCATCAGCCAGTGAGAGGACCACAAGATCCCAAGCAGCATCCACTGAGTCTGAAAGAGAGACTCCATCAGCCAGTGAGAGGACCACAAGAACCCAAGCAGCATCCACTCCATATGAAAGAGAGACCCCATCAGCCAGTGAGAGGACCACAAGATCCCAAGCAGCATCCACTCCATATGAAAGAGAGACCCCATCAGCCAGTGAGAGGACCACAAGATCCCAAGCAGCATCCACTGAGTCTGAAAGAGAGACTCCATCAGCCGGTGAGAGGACCACAAGATCCCAAGCAGCATCCACTCCATATGAAAGAGAGACTCCATCAGCCAGTGAGAGGACCACAAGATCCCAAGCAGCATCCACTCCATATGAAAGAGAGACCCCATCAGCCAGTGAGAGGACCACAAGATCCCAAGCAGCATCCACTGAGTCTGAAAGAGAGACTCCATCAGCCGGTGAGAGGACCACAAGATCCCAAGCAGCATCCACTCCATATGAAAGAGAGACTCCATCAGCCAGTGAGAGGACCACAAGATCACAAGCAACATCCACTCCATATGAAAGAGAGACTCCATCAGCCAGTGAGAGGACCACAAGATACCAAGCAGCATCCACAGAGCGTGAAGGAGAAACCATATCAGGTAATGGGTGGACCACAGGATCCCAAGTGATGCCTATAGAACATGATACCACACCAGCCAATGAAAAGACTACACAAGTCTCAGCAAAGTCTACAGAACACCCAGAAGAAGCCACATCAACCACCCAGGAAGCCACACAAGTCTCAGAAAGTCCCACAGTATTCTGGAGAAAAACCACACTGGCCACTAAGACCATAAGAGCTACAAGAAACCCAGAGAAAACAGTAGCAGTCTTCAAGACCACCAGACCTGCAGTCAGGGCCACAGAGGATAAGTCTACTGCTCTCTCTCCTCATTTCCATAAAACTGAGACCACACACGAGGGATTAATTGGCTCTGTGACAACTAGAAGGGACCTGGGCACCACCACTTCAGAAGCTCATCACCCACAGCAGAATAACCACAACTCAGGCCTCCACACAGCTGGGTCGAGCAGGGAGAGCAACTCATTCCCTGCATGGGCCATAGTTATTGTTATCCTCATGGCAGTGATTGTCCTGCTGATTTCCATTGGCCTGATCGTTTTGGTAAGGGCAATGGGATGGGCGTAAGGGGGACAGAGATGAAGGAGAGATTAGAGGTCAGAGTTTAAGAGTTAGAGCTGGGGTGGAATGTGAGAACAGTAGAAAACCAACAACAATTGGAAGAGAAGGCTGTGGCTGAGATGGCAGGGGTATGTGAGAAAATATGGTAGTATTGGGTGTGAGGGTTGGGATATAAAGCCAAGGTGGATAGGGCAGTGTATCCAGGACTCTATTGGATCTGGGGTATGGACCAAGGCTTGGATAGGATCTCAGACAAGCAAAAGGTACAGGATCAGAGATAAAAGCTCCAAGGATAGTTGATGAAATCAAACAGCTGGTGGTATCTTTTTCTGTCATCTCAGGTCGCCTGTGCATCAAGACCACGCCGAGTACTGGCCCAGAACTCTGAGGATTCCGACCCTGAGGAGAGAGGGGGCCGCAATTCTTACCCCGTCTATCTGATGGAGCAGCAGAACCTGAAACCAAACCAGATCCCTTCCCCTCCGTGATCTGGAGACCTATATCCCCTGCTCTTCCGGGTTTCTTCCCTTTCCCGGAAGATGAATTGGACTTACGGCTCCAACTTCCTGGACTTAGAAAGGGCAGCAAAAACTGACAGTAACAGCTGCAACCCCTGTCAGCCATGTTCTTAACTGACTAGCTGAGGATCGAGGTGGTAAGGGTGACATTTGGAGGAAAGGGAAGAAAGAGCGAATAATGCAAGTGCTGTTTGTAGAGTGTGGTGTGAGAAGAAGGCACTTAATGGACAGCACGGGCGGGACCACTCCAAATTCTAAGAGGCACGGCTATAAGCGAGGCATAAGCACCTCAGAAGACAACACCCCGAGAGTGAAGGAGGACCCTGGGAAGCACAAGGAATAGAGGCAGGCCCAGGTTTAAAAACTAATTTATAGTAATTCTGTCCACCCCCACTTAAGGTGCACACTCTTCTGAATTCCCAGAGTACTAGATCTTATTTTTTTAATTAAAAAAGGACCAAAGAATAAAGGGAGATTGGAGAGTTTTCTTTTCCATAGTCTCTGTTGCCTGGAGAGAGAGACACCCCCCCCAACCCTGCAAAGATCATAAAACTCCTCTTCTACGTGGTTCTTCCCCCCTTCTCGTGAGTCCCTTGATTACCCCGGATGTCTGTGGTGGATTTTCCGTTTGTGGATGGGTACATACAGAAGGGTATATGTTTGCCTGCAGTCTTACCAACCAGCCACACGCCCTGTTGTGCACCCACTCCGCAATTGTATTCCTGTACCTTTCACTAAAAGTTGGCGCTAGTTTCCTCTTGCAGAGTCACCATCTTCTCCCCAGAGCGTCCCCTCTCCTCACTCTCCCACAGCGCTCTGACTTTCAGTCTTATAGGCAGTTAATCGTGTGCTTTGGGGGAAATCTACGCAGTAGACACAGTGTAGCGCCCTCTGCTGGACTTCCGTAAAAAAGCAAATACATTTGTAAGGTACGGACTCCAGGGACTCCAGACTTCCACTTTCAGGTTCCCTGGTTTCGTGACCGTATGGGTGGCCCTGGACAGGAGAGGTTGGAGGGCAGGACAGGAGTTCTTTGAAGGGCCAGAGAGAGGAGACAGAATTTCTACTGTTTCTAAAATGGCCATTTGTGGGTTTAGGTAAAAGCTCAGTTCAATTCATTGTGGATTTATCTGCATGGCAAAAAGGGAGGGGGGTGGGGATTTTAGTATTGATAAGAAAGGTTTTGTTTTTTTTTTTTTAAGACTCGTGTGTGTGTGTGTGTGTGTGTGTGTGTGTGTGTGTGTGTGTGTGTGCAGTTCATCATATTCTCCTGGCCTTACAGGACTTACAGGAGGTTGTGACCCACCCAGTATGGGTGTTAAGAACCAAAGTCAGATCTCTGAAAGAGCAGTGCTTGCTCTTAACGGTTGAGCTGTCTCTCCAGACCTAGAAGCAACATTTCTAAGCATCCAACATCTATAGTTTATTGATATAAAGACATATATGACAACATTCCTGCCTGAGACAGAAATTCAGGAACACTAAAAGACTTCCACAAGAGTCACCACAGGAAGTGATATACAGACAGGAAGTACTTATAGACAGGAAGTGCTATGTAGATTAAATAACCTAGGTAATTAAACCAGTATTTACAAGCAGCCATGTCTCTGTTAGATGCCAAAACCATAAGTTCCCACAGCACTGGCCCACTACCCAAATAGCCTTGATGTCCACTGATGCTGGAGAAAGGTGGCTGACAAGGCACTCAGTGTGCCACAGGCCTTCCAGCCACACTCTGAAGGGACCAGACCATCACCTAGCCTCCTGCTTTAGCAGCCATGACAGGCTGCAGAAAAGACCCAGCAAGATGTAGGCCTCTGACTCAGCAAGACATGCTGAGCTTCCTGACCTTGCCCTTCCTCCCAGTCACTAGGAGGTCAGATACCCTCCATGTGGCAAGGAACCAATCAGAAGTTAGCTGGCAGGCTTTGGACAAGCTTTTGGGTAAAAGTAATATAACAGTGACATGAAGAGCATAGCAACCACCTGGGAGGACCTATAGGCCATAGCAACCAGTTAACCATTCAACCCAGGACAGGGAACTGGACCAATCCTGAGACTGATGCATACCCCTGGACACTCCCCTTGTATATCCCAGTAAATTTGCTGCCTCAAAGCTACTTCGGGTCCTTCTCCCTCCACCTGCTCTGATGAATGAATGGATGAGGGGTTGAGTTAAGACAGTTAACTCGTTAAACAATAAAAGAATTTGCTTTTGCATGGGAATGGGTCTCTTGATTTTAGGGTTCAGAATTTGGGCACAATAACTCCAACCCTAACCAGGCAGCTGGATCACAGGTCATTATTTGCTACTTTCCCACATTTCTAGGTATTAACAAGTCCCCCAAAGACAGAATCCCAACTCTGATATGCATTTGGACAGACAGTCTCTCTAGATGTCTCATGGAGGGGACAGGCTCCTCTGGGGACAGTTAGCAACTGGGCTTCAGAAAGAGTACATGGGGGGTCAGAGGGATCCCAGACTTAGCTCATTGGTGAAGCCTAAGGCAGGCAGGGTCTCCTGGAAGAAGAGAAGGGTGTGTGGTTTCCAGTTGTCTGGACAGATGTGACTTAGCTGTCCCCATACAGTGAGTGACCTTGGGCTCCCAGGATGCTAAACAGCTCAGTGCCCCCCTCCCTGAGCTGAATTCCTCCCATCTGGATGCTAATAATAATAATCATTTCCCTCCTAGAGCCTTTACATCCAGCTGAGCACAGTTTCCCTGGGGCTTGCTAACTATTACCCTGAAACTGCAGGGAAGTCCTTTAATGAGCTCCAGACTGGACCCACGGGAAGCATAACTACTTAACAAGCAGGTCTGGGAGATACCTCCTTTTCTGCATGTCCTGTCTGTGTCCTTGTGCCTCCTAAGGGTCACTACAGGAGCTTGGAGTGCCTAAGACCCAGTGGACAGGGGCCGGAGGCTAGCCTCCAGTTCATCCATCTGCAGCCCTCCCTTCTCCTGAGGCTCTGCCTGATGGGTGGACCTTGGATTTCTTCTGTGGAATAGAGCTCACTGTGTTTCTGGATTCCCTTCTCTTAGCATGAGATCTACTAGGTCAGTTTCTGCCCTAATCACAGATGGGATAGCCTGGATTTCTCTCCCACAGCCAAGCAGAACACACAAAAACTACTCTTTGTCAGTGCTGCGCATCCATAGATAGTGGTCAACCATCCCAACACACTAGGGATTCTTCCTCTCTTCACGTCTGAAACAACCCAAGCCTCACCCGCAGTCACCTTGGTTGCTGTCACAGTATCATTGCCTCTCACAATCTCCATGATAACATCTGCTCACACCACCACACCTCCCCCACACTCTCTGAGAACACATAGCTTCCATTTCACCCTCCCAGGTTGTCATATCCTCCAGCACCATTTCTGTGCCAATGAATGTCTCCAACACACTTGCTGAGGCCACCACAGGGTCCCCCACCACTTCTGAGACTGTCAATTCCTCTTCTGCAGGATCTGTGTCCACCTTGCCTTCCAGCTCAGGCTCTGAGACCACTTCCATTAGAGACCCTGAACAATGGTGGTGTCTTCTACAGAAACTAGAGCACCTAACATGACCACTTTTGCTTCTGATTCTATGATCCTGGAAGGGACTCCATGTACAATCTCAACAGCTCCAAATGCCTCTCTCCTGAGCATATCTCTGTGGCAGCATCATTGACCTCCTCATCTGTAAATCAGAAGGACCAATGTCGAAGTTAGGGTTTCTATTTCTGTAAAGAGACACCACGACCACAGCAACTATTTTCAAGGAAAATATTTCCTTGGGGCTGGCTCACAGTTCAGAGGTTTAGTCCATTGTCATCATGGTGGGGCATGATGGCATGCAGGCAGATATGGTGCTGGAGAAGGAGCTGATAGTTCTACATCTTGATCTGCAGGCAACAGGAAGCGAACTGTGTCACTATGCATAGCTTGAGTGTAGGAGACCTCAAAGCCTGTCTCCACAGTAGCACACTTCCTCCTACAAGGCCATACCTTCTCTAACAAAGCCACATCTCCTAATAGTGCCATTCCCTATGAGCTTATGAAGGCCAATTATAATCAAACAACAAAGGCAAGAAAGTCCATCCACTAACCGACCACCCCTCCCAAAGACAGGGCCATATAATAGGGCCAGTAACAACAAGCAACCCCGCCCCTACAAACAAACAGCTGGATGTTTTCACCCCATCCCTCATCCTCATTACTCTGGTTTTAGTTACTAAGGGTATTGTGGCACTGAGTTTCTGCATGGTGAGTGAGCTTGTGTGGAAACAGGGGAACCTTCCTAGCCCAAATCACCAAAGAACTCAGGGACAAGCCTGTGTCCTCCCAAGGTCAGGTCCTGCATCAACAGAAGCCATACCAAAAGGTCTAAGGAGCTTCTCAATGGAAAAGGAAAAGCCCCCTTTTTCTAGTATCCAACCTGTGGGGTTCTGGTGACATTTAAATAGAATCCTTTCTGTTGTTGTTGTTTGTTTTTGTTTGTTTGGTTGGTTGGTTGGTTTCTTGAAACAGGGTTTTTCTGTATTACTTTGGAGCCTGTCCTAGAACTTACTCTATAGACCAGACTGGTCTCTGCCCCCCAAATGCTGGGATTAAAGGCGTGTACCACGAACACCCAGCTCAGAATTTACTTTTTGAAAAAAACTTTTATTACATTTATTTATTGATTGCAGGAAGTATCCTACCTCGTGTGCACATGCATATCAGAGAAAAACTTGGGGAAGCAAACTCTTTCATGCTTTTAAGCTGGGCAACAGGCACCTTTACCCACTGAGCCATCTTGCGGGTTCTAGAGTGAAGTTTAAACAAATTTACATCGGAACAGGGCTGTGCTTTAGGGGTCATGGCAGCTCTAGACTGTGAGACTCCGTTTCCTTCAAATTGTACAATATAGCATAGAGTGCCCTTCCAACCCCTGCCTCGAGTCCTTCAGTGATGGACTGTGATTTGGAACAGTAAACTGTCTAAGTTGCTTTTGGTGGGGGTGTTTTATCGCAGCAACGAAAAAATTGCAACACTCTGTAATGGACTGGGAGTGCTCACTGAAAATACCTTGAAGGAAAAGAGATGAGCTGGCAAATCTTCAGGGAGTTAAGTTGACAGGAAAATGAGCAGTGCTAAAATTAAAAAAG